TTAAGACTGACTACGCTCAAGAGTACCTGAAAGCGAAAGGCCTCGCTAGCGAAGGTGTAGCACTTAACTCACGCACCGTTCAAATTGTAAAATGAACAGAACTGTATAACGAAATGGATTTACCAAGAGAATTGTTGAGTACCCTCCTTTTATCATAGATACGGATTTACCTTGGCGATGAAGCTTTTTGCGGTTGACGTTGTCCACCGTTAGCCCTCTTAAATCTCGTCTTTGAAGAGTTTCTTTAAAGATAAAAGAATTTGATTGTGTTAAAATGACCATAGTCCACACACCCGTCCTGTTCGAGTCATATACGAGTCTTATTCGAGTCCTATCCCACTCCCATGGGAGTCCAATTGCACCATAAACGGGACTCCAATGGGACATTGGGACATTGGGAGACAATGGCACTCGTATGAGACTTCCGTTGGACTCGGATGGGACTCGGATAGGACTCAGATAGGACTCGAATGGGACTCCCTATTTCGATATAAGAAGTAACACATTGAAATGTACATTTGCCTAAAAGCTATACAGGTTTTATTCATTAACCATCAGACAAATCTTCGGGTTGGTTTTCTTTGTTGCAGTCTCTTCTGTATGTCCTTTTCCGGCCCTTCTGAATCCATTTTTGTATTTGCTCTTATTCTTTGAGGTGAGTTTCACCCGTGAAATTCTTTTTCATGTGCAATCTATATATTGGTACACAGATAACACAGCACGCTTGCAGATTACCGACTTTGCACATAATTAGATTCCATCCCATTTTTGTTGTTAGTGCCAAACATGCGCATGTAAAACTAGTTAATTTAAACAAACTGATATAACCGCTTCTAAAATACTCAATTTCAATGGTTTTCAGTATTTAATTTGTCAGTTCAGTAATTTGTTCAGTTCATTTTTCGTATTACATTAAAAATAAGTATCTACAGTCCCGACGGAACTCAAATAGGACTCCAGTGGGACGGTGGTTAACGGAGGAGTCCCGGCGGGACTCGATTAGGACTCAAATGGGACGGGTAAACGTCCCTCTGTGAGGATAGGGACGAGCTCACTTGTGAAAAAAATAATGGTGCAAACTAGAAATCCGGTATTTTAGATTATAATTATGAAGAATGCAAATTCCTAAATTTAATTCTGGTATTCAATGAAATAGCACTGATGGTCAAAATATTTGTTTTTGTTAATTCTAGTTAAGATTATGAACTGTTACACGCAACTGATAAATTTGTAAAGATTTCAATTCATTCAAAAAGATACGTATGCAGTAATACGATTAAAAGCTTACAGAATCAATTCCCTTAAAACATTGAACTTGGATCAATGCTACAGTTACTGAACAGAACCGCTCTCAGAATGTTGACAGATAGCCGATAAAAATTAAGAAACCTGAAGGTATTTATCATAACAACTCCAAAGTCTCTCATCCGGGATACACGATGTAGTAGTATGTTTTACTCAAGCATTTTACATTTTATTGGCTGAAGATTGGGTTCCGAGATCCAAACATTTACGAAATGCATCTAGATTCTGAGCTAATTGTTGACGTTTTCTTCACTAAATCAGAGAATTTATTGCAGCGATGTAAAAAAGCAGAGGCCCTGGTACCAAACCTTGTGGTTTCTCTTTAGAGGTGTTTTGATATACAGTCACCTAAGCGTAAGTTGATCGTTTCTACCGCCCTCATATTTGACATTATGACAAACATTCCTCAACTTTTCTTAACTTATTTTAATTTATATTCTGTCATATTGCATTATTATTTTGGTTTCCTAAGTCTTATAAAAAGGTCGATTATAGGTCCTTTTCTTTTGATTTGTGGCATTGACGGTATAGCTGGAATTTCTAACTTGCAAAAATGCTAAACAAAAATCAAGGGTTTGCTTGCATTGAGACATGCAAGATCGTGCACTACTACCCAAAATAAAGTTGTGTGTATGTGCACGAGCAACAGCGGAGCGGAGATCGTTGTGTTCTGCGATGCTGCATGTACATCATGAACATCAATCCGTTTGGGAATATTTTTGGACGACTTTGATGAGAGCCGGCGGAGATTGTTTTAAATTTTTTATCAGACATTTCCCAATAACGTTTTAGGAATTGTGGAACAAAATATGGTTTCAATCATTTTAAATAATTCACCCTTTGTTTTTAATACAACTTAGATTATTATCGTTTTTAAAATTTTATTGGATTATCTTATGCAATATCCTTGCTGTTATTATTATTTTTATAACAGATTATTATCAGGATTTTAGAAAATGTTTCATTGTATACTACTCGTGAGTAGATAGTTTATAATTACAGAATGTTATCCTGGAAAGGAGCATAAACATATGCCATCTGCCTGGACCTTATTGTCTGACAGGATCAAGGCTACGTAGTTGGCCAGCGGTATGTTGATTTT